CCACCCCCACCCACCAAGATGCCAGTGTGGTGTTCCCCTACCACGGTGCTAACTTCAGAATCCTGACTGGAGCTTCGGATCAGGACAGCTGGGCTCACACCGATGACAGAGTCTGGGTCCGTCCTCTGAAACAAGACACAGGGCCTCAGACACACGAGGGGAGGTGTCCAACCTGCTCCCAGTTTCCCTAAGAAATACTGTATCTTCTTCCTTCTCCCCATCCCCACCCTTCTACTATCCTTTTTCTTAATATAAAATATATATGACTTACATAATAAGAACAATAATAAACACTAAGTAGTACATGCTCACTACAGAAAATACATGAAAGAATAAGGAAACAAAAATAAACCATGAACTGACCCCTTACATTAATCACTGTCAAGTCTTTAGTTTACTTCCTTTTAGTCTTTTCTATATACATTTTAAAAGTAAAATGGGAATCATACTGTATAAACCTTTGTCAACATTTTCCCATGTCACTAAATTTTTTAAAATACAGTTAACAGAGCTCTGGCTGGGTAGTTTGGTTGGTTGGAGTGTCAGTTTATGCATCATTTATTGTTGTGGGTTCGATTCCTGGTCAGGGTGGGTATGGGAGGCAGCCAATCAATGTTTCTCTCTCACATTGATGTTTCTCTCTCACATTGATGTTTCTCTCTCTCTCTCTTCCTCTCTCTCTCTAAAGTCAATAAACATATCCTTGGGTGAGAATTAAAATATATTTAATGGATACTAATATTATATTACATGGATATATTATACTTATGTCATCATTCCCTATTATTGACTATTTATGTTGTTTCAAGGTTTCTTGTCTTTGGTTTTTGTTTTAACTTAAAGAAGTATTTTGAGATAGCACATCATTATCAATAAGGGTCACACACCTGGGAACCAGATGTTAGGCTCACACCACTATCTGCGCTGATCTGGGACTTTTTCTCTTCCGTCTCACCAAGGTCAAAGGCAGGTTTGAGTACGTCAGGCCCTGAGTAGGGGAAGAGGTCTGTTACTCAGAACACAAAGGCTAGGGGCAGGCCGGGAAGGAGTGGGGCAGCAGCGCGGCCTGGACCCCATCACCTTTCCAGGGACTGCCCCCTTGGGCCCCACTGACAGAATAGTCTCCAGATGCCTTACGACCCAAGTAGGAAAAACAAGTCTTGGTCTCAAGGGGTTCTGCAGCCACCTTCTTAACCTGAGACCATTCTGAGCACATCGCCCCCAAACAGAAAAGCTCCACAAACAAACGTCTAAACCACACTCCACTGCACCCAGGTGCAGCTCCACCGGGGCCTCCAGGTCACTCAGTGCTTCCCAAACCAACGCGGCCAAAGGGGCGAGAAAAGGATGGGCCCAATGAGATCAAGAAACCCCAGCTACTTCCATGGACACTGCTCACCCCCACCCTACAACTCCCACATTTTAGATAAAATCTGCTCCCCTTTCCCCACCCACCCACAATGATATGGCAGAAGGACAGAATGACAGAAAGCAAGAAAGCGTGCCTCGGCAAGCCACCGGAGAGAGCTGGGAAGCTACAGACTCACACGGAGGGACAGCAACCATCTCTGCCAACTGTGCCCACAGGCCTTCTAATGGGTGAGGGAGATATCAGCCAATGAGGGGCATGAAATAGGCAAGCGTTCCCCCACCGACGACTCGGAAGCAATAGAGAGCCACGTTCTAAGGGGCTTTACTGAGTAGACGCCTCAATTTCAGTCTGAGTGCTGCGGGGAGGGGCGGGGGACGCACCCTAGGAGCCACACACCTGAGTCACATAGCACCTGCCTGCTGTCCCTCCAAATACCCCACTAGAGCAATTTGGGGTGGGGCTGACAAAGGGAGCCTGCCCCAACGGGCCTGGGGAGTTGGCAGGTATGGGAGACTTGGGAACGGGAAGGGGGCGTTTGTTCCTTACTCTGTTTTTCCATAGCTTTTTGCTTTTTCACTTCCTGGTGCTTGTTCCACAATTCTACCCCAGATGCAATGTAAGCAGGAGAGAAAGACAGACAGAGTCAGAGGCTGGTCAGGCAGACGAAATGGAAACCCACCCACCCGAGTTGGTTCAGTCTCAGGCATAAGATTACAAACCAAGAGATAAAGAGATCTTCCTTTGTGGGGATTAAACTCATGGAGCCAAGACTCCAAGTGTCTAACCCTAACCTAACGGGGCAGTAACGAGCCTGCAGAGCCGTAGAGCTTGGAGGGCCTTTTCCCGAGCTTCGTGGTCTTGGCCAGAGGAAACGGACCCTAGAGAGGCCGAGCAGTCCCTTGAGATCATGCGACTTAGGATGAGGTTAAACTTCCACCACAGCACACTCTCTCTGCCAAATGAGCTGGGCAAAGGCACATTTTAAAGATTTCAGATGAGACAGATGACCACCTCAAGCGGCCAAAGGGATTTCAGAAGCACGAGCACCGATCTGTTTTATTCAGTGGACTGGACCGAGGTCACTCATGCAAGCAGTGGGCATCCCTCCTTATTGCTACCAAAAAACCCAGCTCACCCTCAGAATCAGTGCCTGTCCTGATAAGAGACCCATTCTTAGCCAGATACCTGGGAATCCAGTAGCGGTAACAGAGACTATTGACTGTCAGGCATAGCCTCTTAGCAGGGGTAAAGAAGAGAGCAGCGATCAGAGCGACTGTTTTCCTGGAAGAACGTTAAGAGTCCACTTGGTCCAGTCCCCTCGTTTCCCAGATGAGGAGACAGAGACCCCGAGAGGGAGAGGATTTGCCCAAAGTCACATTCCTGGTTGAGGGCAGGCCATTATTTTTCCTGAAACATCACTTCAGGCTGATGGCCTCTACGACAATATGTTGCTGCTAGAGAACTGTAACAGCCTGAAAAGGACACTGTTCCTCATGAGCATCATGGAAGCCTAAGGCAACTGCTAATGGTTGTGGCAAAGAGGCATCAGTTAGAAGCACACAGCCCGGGGACCTAGAACTAGAAAAAGAACCTAGAACCTACGTGACCTTGAGTAAAACCGAGGTGACACCCAGAGAGCTCCCTAGGCTCTGCCTTAGTGAGAACCGAGAAACATGGAATGTAAACACGTCCCAGTGAGGAAAGTTCTAAAGAAAAGCTGACTCAGAAACCTGTACCCTGAGGTTCAGAACCCGTGAGAATGGGATTGCCGGACACACCCCAGAGGAGCCAATGTGACGGCAGTGTAATGGTTGGATGGGGGGAAACTGGCTTTAGAAACCCAGATGATCAGAACTCTATTGCCTCAAGATGCAACTATACACTTCCTCACAGCTTCCAGGAGCTCACGTGACCTCTCCACCATGTGAAGAAATCCAGAAGCAAACAAACACAGGGCCCAGGGCACAGCTCAGACTCCCTGCAGGAGGCCTCCCTGGGCCCCCTAAGAAAATCTCCCATGTGAAGATGTGGGTGGGGGTGGCTGCAAATGAAGCATAAGGGATAGAGAAGTATAAAGAAGTACCATTAGAAATGGACACAGGTCTATCTACGTCTCTAGAAAGCAAAGCATGGGAAAGAGAAAGGCAGGATTCTGGATGGATTGAAAGGACGGAGGGATATCTAAGACACCAGAACCCCTCCAATACACCAAACACAGAGATACATACCAACAGATGCTACAAAATTCTCTTCCTTTAAACTCCTGGTATCTAGTTCCTTAGGACCCTTTCCTGTAGCACTTGGTGCCCGAGGCCCCAGCTGGGGAACTCTCAGCTGTGCCGTAGCCTTTGGGTCCCCCCGACCAGCCAGGCCAGGATCCTTGCCAACTGGTGTATGCACGCTCTCTGTTGGACTTCTCTTACGCTTGTCTGGTTCTGAGGAAAAGATCGAATATAGGAAGAGGTCATAGGAGAAAGTGGGTGCCAATCAGGGTAGGGAAGGTGCCGGAGGAAGCAGGAATACAGGAGGACGTGGATGGAGGAAGTGCAAGGAAAGAAAAACAACATCTTATTTTTCATGACAGGAAGACGCCCACTGCACATAAACATGCCCTGGAAAATGAAATCCCAGAGCCTGGTGGGAAACAGCTTGGCTCTGGGAATTTTGTCATGGGACAACTTTCTTTCCTTCAGAGACAAGCGGGAGAGCTGTGGACGGCACGCTGCCCCGCCGGCACAATCCCTACCTTTGCTGTAATAGTGGGTCTGGGCGATCTCCAGGAGCCCGAAGATGCTGGCCATGCCGCCCAGACCTGCATGGGTATAGGACTGCTCCAGGCTGAGCACCGTGCACTTGAGCAGGTCTAACATCCCTTTGTACACCTTTCGACTGATCTCCTGCAACAATAATCCAGGGGCTGGAGTTGGCAAAACTGCCTGTGGTGTCCACATCCTCTTCCCAGTTGATTCCAGCTCCCAGCCAACACTGACTACCCGCAGCTGCTCGCTCTCCAACAGCCGTCGCACCTTCTTCATGTTGAGCCAGCCGACGCCCTGGCCGTCCAGCACGCTGTGCACCACCTCCTTCAGGAACTGCTGGTTCTCACTGTGGGTTCGACATACTTCTGTGGTCATCAGCTCCTTTGCAGAGCATGCCACCTTCCACCAGCCAAGTGTCCAGATGTCCCAGTCCACTGCATCCCCCACCTCCCCATTCAGCCTGCTTTGCCCAAGTACCCACCATCGCTGCCTCACTCTCTCAGCACTTGAGCTATTACTGCTGCATGGGGAGTGAGTCCTAATGGGAGGTGCTGACAATAACTTCATCCACCCAGCTGCAAGTTTCTCTCCCACTCCTGAGCATCCATAAAGTTTGGTACAGGAATCGCTACCTCTGTCCAAGAATCTTAAAGCCGCTCTGCCATTTAGTACCTAGAATTGCTGGATCGGCCCTGGGGTGACGGGGGTTCTCGCTTCACTGTTGGGCTGTGTTTAATGACAGATGACTTCTGGTCCACCAAGGCCCTCCTGTTTCCTGCAACGGGGAGGTGGAATGAGAGACATCACTAGTGTAGTCCAGGAGCCAGTGTCGGCACAGCCCTGGTAGCCATGGTCCACACCCACTCCCCAGAAGGGCTGGGCGAGGATGGCACCAGGGCGCCACACAGGGGCAGAAACCAGCCATGGCAATGTGGAGAAGGTGGGGATGGAAACTCGGGCCACTCCGCATGCACCAGCAGCACGCCCAGGGGCAAGCACGGGCCTCACGGGGGACAGGGCAGGCAGGTCAGCGTGTGATCTGCTTGGTCCATGAGGAGGATGGCCTCAGGCAGACACAGGAGATGCTAGGGAAAAAAACAATCATGCACAGCTCACGGGCAAGACCCACCTTCACCACTCCCGGGGCCGGCTTCAGTAACAATCTCCATTAGAGTATTTAGCCCAAATACTGGGACACAAAATACACAATTAGTAGGTGCGCCACAATACCACAACCCCCTAACCCTCAATGGAGCTGTAAGTCGGATAAACTGAGCATTCTCCCAAAGCTTGGTGCATAGAACCTGGATTCTCAGGCACCTCAGAGCTGGAAGCCAAGTGACCAGGAGACAACCAAGCTCTAGGAAAGACCATCCCTAAGACTACGGCCTCTCAAAGCCAGATGCAGGGTAAATGACACAGGAGTCTTCGGGTACTGAACAGGCACATGCTGGCTGTCATGAAACATCTGGCACAGGGTCCAGAGGGCCTGCGGGCCGCGGAGGGCAGAGACCCCCCTTGCAGATGCTGTCATGGGAAGTGGGGTGGAGGAGTGAGGATGGGGGTGACAAGTGCAGCAAATGAAGTGAAGCACCGCATGCAATGAAAGCATCTCCATTGTTCTCTTCAACTGCATCAAATGAAACACCTTTCCATCCCTCACCTACTGAGCATGGCTGAGTCCACTCAGGAGTGCCCTACACCACGAGCTCTGATGTCCTTCTGCCCATCTATCCTATGTTCCCATCCCCCACCCAAAGGGCATTCCTCAGATTTCTGACGATTTTAATCACTTGGAAGAGAGGTCAGTTAAAAAAAAAAAATACATGGAGCTGCTTCTCACTGTGCTTTCCACTATGATTACAGATCAGCACAATAACCAGGGGAAACAAACCAAAGTCAGAGTAAATTCCGAAGGGCCCTCGCCCTGGCGGAGATCACTAATGAAAACCAAGTGAGGTCTCAACTGCCCCTGGAAGCCAGCCAATACCACCGGGTCCACGAACTGGCCCTAAATTGACGTGAAGCCAAAGTAAGAGGTTTTTTTACTCAATAAACGCTGCCAGGCTCCAAACATAAAGCAACTTCACGGTGCCAGGCTCTCCACAACGACCCCCTGCTGGGCCATCGCTCCAGGATGGGGTTCATCCCGAGTTCACACAGCAGGAACCTGGCAGGTAAGTGGTGGCCCTGGATGATCCCCATGATAACGATGGACCTCTGACAATGTTTCCCCCGAAGCAGCGGCCATCCCACAGTTGCCATTATCCTAAAGGATATAACAGGGCCTTCTCTTTAGCTACCAAGTCAGTTTCCACCTGAAAACCAGCAAGAGCCACGATGTGCAGTGAAAGCCATGAGAAGTGAGATGAGGGGCAACCACCAGATCAAGTGGCTCATCATACACAGGGCCTGACAAGCACTCATGGGCCCGAACTCGTTCTCAGAGAACCCTGGCTTGGCAAGAGGAGGGCTGCAGTTACCTTTCAGACTGGGGAAGGGCGTGGTCTTCTCCCGGGCACCTTTGGTGGGCAGCGTGAGGTTCGAAAGACTGAAGCTTGTACTGTGGTTCCGATATAGGCTGCCTATCCAGGTGTGGGGAGAGTGAGAGCAATGAGTTACGGGAATAAAGAATCAAAGTTTCATGCTCGGAGGACGAGTTCATCATCTCCACCTTCCCCCTTTCCCAACAGCCCAGTGCTTCTGCTCTACATTAGAAGGGCCAAGGCTAACTTAGGGCAAACTAAACCCAGTAACAACTCGCTCCGACTCCCTCCCCTCACAATATCCACGTCTCTTATCAGCTGCCAATTGGGCACGAAAGCGGCAGTTCATGTGCTTCTGGTCTGAAGTTGGTGCTGCCCCTGCCCGGCTTCTGACAAAACTCACAATCACAATGATCCCCTAGGTTGGCTTTCTCTGGTCCCGAAGCTGTCTTCAAGCCTTCTCTGACACCACCCTTCCCTCATTGCTGGAAATAATCTCTATGCAGGAAAGTCAACCTCATATAGATTTCAAAACATGTTCATGAAAAAGCCCTTCACCAGACAGAGAAGATATTAGACCAGAATATTTCCACAAAGTATGTGTTACAAGTGTGTAATTCTTAATCTAATGATTATTTTTCAGTTGACCCACTACCTTATCTGAAACAGGCTGAACCCTCCAGGCAGAAAGACAATGATTAACCTGTCCCTGTTCTTTATTGACCTCCCCTGAAAATACCTGTTGAGTATCACCAAACAACCTGAATTGGGGCTTGCTAATGCAACCCAGCCTTTGCCGTGGCCAAGCCCTACTGGGAAGGAAATGGGACAGAGGCAGAAGAGAGCTGAAAGCACTTACTGGCAAAAGACATGATGCCCCCAAAGCTCTCGGTGCTGTTGTTGGAGATGGTGGAGGTGGGAGAGCTTGCTCGGGAGTCTGACTCTGCGTCTGAGTCGCTTGCCAGTTTCAAGCTGTTGGGCCGCAGCAGCTTTTGAGCCCTTGAATGCACAGTGGCACCTGTGAGCCCCAAGGTGACCTTGGGTGTGTGAGCCTGATGCTACACTGCAGTCGCCATGCCCTTCCCATGATTCCTAAATGCCGAGATCGCAGCACCACCCTCTGGACACGGCAGGACCACGAGGGCACTGGGACCTCTCAGGCCGATCAACCCTCGCCCAGCTCCACTGCAGGGAGGTCCTGCAGTCACCCGCCCAGGAGGACTCCCTGGGCTCTCACCGATTGCCACTGCCATGTTGGCTGAATCGGGGAGTGTAACTTTCCCCCTGGTCATCATCATCTTCCTCAGGGGGAAGGCCATACTGGGGCTCGAAGTATGGGTTGTCGAAGGTTCGCCGGCACACTGACCCCTCTCCAGTTTCTGTCTGGCGCCTGTCCACGGCCGATTTGCTGATGCTGGGAGGCCCGGGAGGGACGGGCTTGGAGATGGCTACTGCGGCCTTATCATCCATCTCTGTTGAGTCAGCAGGTTCCTACAGTCCATATCAAATGAAAAGTAGTCACTTGGTGCCCGGTGACGCTTTCCCATAGTCTTGGTTTGGCAGGGCCAAGCCAGGCCTGTCAGATTCCTACCCTAAGAAATGTGTGAGAAAAGATCTCTGTAACATCCGTTCTCTGTCCCCACAAACTATGCAAGAGGGATCTTAGTTAATCCCTGAACAAAAACCCAGTGATCTTCTGGGATCAAAACTATATCTTATAGGCTCTAAGTTGTAGGGTCTATGGTCAGGAAGATAGGAAGATGGTGAAGAAAGAAGCAAATTAAATCCACAGCTTCACTCAAGCTTTCCTAAGAGAGGTGGGGCCCACACCCCGCAGTCCTCACTTTTCCACCCCAAGTCCTCACTTACAGCACTGGCTCCGTGGATGACAGTGCTGGAGCCACTGCTGGCCGTGGTGCTGGAGCTGGAGTGCGGTGGGGGGTGTTCCTGAGCGTCCTCCCTGTGGGGGCCAGGCTCCCCGGCTTCCTTCTGGCTTGGCAGCTCATCAATCTCCACCTCACTGGCATCCCCCAGTGCTGCATGCGTCAGAGGATCCACATCTGCCAAAACCCAAGGGTGCAGGTACAGACCACACCACCCCAGAAACCAAACCCTGCCCAGAGCTGGCCAAGTTCTCCAATACACTCACTAGGCGTATCGCCATTGATGTCACACTTCATCATTTCACTAACAAAGTCACCGAGGGAGGAGTAGGAAGAGCTTGAGTCACCATAGTCCATACTATCACTGCCGCTGCAGAGTGAAGAGCATACAATAAAAACAAAACAGAAAAGAATCAACCATCAGCATTGGGAGAAATAAAAAGAGGAGCACCCTTAACTCAAGGCCAGGGAACAATATGAAATAAGGAAGCTAACATAAAACAATCAAGCCTGGCTGGTGTGGCTCAGCAGTGGAACCGCATCCCATGCATCAGGAGGTTGCTGGTTAGATTCCTGGTCAGGGCACATGCCTGGGTTTCGGGTGCAATCCCCAGCAACGGGCGTGCAGGAGGCAGCCAATCATGTAGATGTTTCTTATCGATGTTTCTATCTCTCTCTCCCTCTCACTTCCTCTCTCTCTAAAATCAATAAAAACCTATTGATACATAACCAATCAACCAAAATATAACCCAAGGCTTCAAATGCTGCTAACATCTATGAGATTTTTCCATGGTGCTACGTAAGGGCCAGTGAGAGCCTCCTGCCCTTACATACTGTGTTGCTGCCATAAGGGACTGCTCACCTGTCATCAGTAGGATCAGAGTCAGAGTCACGCTCTGGGGGCACACTCAGCGCTTCAGCCAGCTGGGAATTGCTATCGTAGACGCGATAGTGGATGGGTTGCAGCTGATGAGCGTACCACTTTGGCTTGTCACCAATCAGGGCCGGATCAAACATGTCTACCCAAAGAGGAAAAAGAATAGACTTAGCAAAACATAAAAGAAGGGTAGGAGCAAGTCTACAGCAAAACAGGAATGGAAGGGGCAGGCCCAAGAAAGGGAAAACGCCAAGGGAAGAGCCATCAGAAGGACAGAGGCTGAAGGTGGGGCCGCGCAGAGGGTAGGGGACTCACTGTTGTGAATTCGCTGAAAGGCATAGTTGGTAGGGTTAAGGATCCATTCCCCAAAGTACTCCACAGCCTGAGTCCTGGCCAATTTCTCAGCAAAAGGAGTCTGCCGGGGACGTGAGGCTAGGAAGGAGCCAACTTGAAAAGCTACCACAGGCCGAGGGAAGAGACGCAGGATACGTGTGTGCATCTGAAAGCCCTGCAGCACGTTGGGGGAGTTGAAGAAACGGACCATGGCCACTCTGGGGAAAAAGGGGAGGCAAGATATCCGAGTCCCACACCTTCCAGAGTGACGATTCCTACGATCCAAAGTCTCAGATCACCTCCCAAAGCCATCAGTTAACAGACTTCCAACATCAAGGGGGTAAGTATCTTAAAGAATCATCAATCCTCTTCTTCATTCAAGGCCTAAAATTCCTGACAGAATGATGAACTCTTCCTTCTCTTTGCTTTTACTAAGGTGGCAAATATAACCCAGTATTACACGTTTTATATACAAAGAAACTCTTGCTGAGGGGAGTACCCTGCCCCAAGGTCTCTGTGTAAGCAGAGACCAGTTTTGGAGTCGTGATTGTCTAGTCTGCTTGGTCGGTACCTGGTTGCGACATCCACAGAATCCACATCATTGCCATAGATGAGTGGGTTGAATTCCGTGGAAGGGGTGGACTGCAGGTCACTTGTAGGCTTTCCAAAGAGCAGAGGGATCTCCTGGCCCTCATGGAATTTTTCCAGATTAAGGATTGGCTGGGTGTTGAGGCTCATGCTGGCAAGGGCCTGTAGAACAACAAGAAATTCCTCATTGAAGGCAGAATCCTGGGCAGCTGGCTAATCTCATCTCCTAGGAACAAGCCTTCATCCTATATAATAAAATATGCAAATCAACTGAACGGAGGAATGACTGGTCGCTATGACGCGCAATGACCACCAGGGGTCAGACGCTCAACACAGGAGCTGCCCCCTGGTGGTCAGTGGGTTCCCACAGGGGGAGTGTCCCTCAGCCAAAAGCCGCTGGTGGGCCATGAGCGCAGCAAAGGTGGCAGTGGTGGGGGGAGCCTCTCCCGCCTCTGCAGCAACACTTAGGACCCCTTGGGGGATATCCCCCGAGGGGTCCCAGACTGCCAGAGAGCGAAGGGCGGGCTGAGGGACCACCCCACCCCCAGTGCACAAATCTTGTGCACTGGGCCTCTAGTCTGAAATAACTGTTAGAGAAAATATTTTAACCTTTAGAAAATAATGTGTATTCTACAGATCTTCAGCTTAAGCCAACCTGGCTCAAGGCAACGCAATCAAATTCAGGGCAATAGCTTTCAAATTTAGTTTAGCCATGAAAGCTTATTTTTTTCAACGGAAATCTATGTGGAAATATAAACAACTGAAACTTCAGGTTCTTTGAAGGGCATAAGGAACCCAGAGCCTCACGCGTTTGGCACTTGCAACCTAAATCAACCCCTAGTAGACTTCACAGGGCAGTTTGAAACCACTGGTTTAGATCGGAGAGTTCCTTAAAAGTCAATGAGCATAGGTTTCACTTGGTCATATTGTTAAAATGCAGATTCTGATTCAATAGGTTTAGGTGATTCTGCACTTCCACCAAGCCCAGGTGAGGCTAGTGCTGCTGGCCACAGACCACAGAGGCGCAGATACAGGATCAACGAGCCCAAGGATCTTAGCTCCCACAGACATGGTAAGTCCAGTTCCATCCGCAACCCCTCCATCTTATTAGGCATACTAGAGCAATCGTCGAGAATGAAAACAGCAAAGGACTATAGCTCAAGAACGTTCTGAACTTGCAACCCTCACCAGGCTAGACTGCAGTAACAAGGTGTCATATTACATCAGCAGTGATGAGGCAAGTGAGGGGGATGATACCAAATGAATCATCTAGGTCCAAGCAGGTATCATCTAGAGCAGCGGTTCTCATCCTGTGGGTTGCGACCCCTTTGGCGGTTGAACGACCCTTTCACAGGGGTCACCTAAGACCATCCTCCATATCAGATATTTACATTATGATTCGTAACAGTAGCAACATTACAGTTATGAAGTAGCAACGAAAATAATTTTATGGTTGGGTCACAACATGAGGAACTGTATTTAAAGGACCACAAGATTGAGAACCACTGATCTAGAGGTACTGCTACGCAGCTCGGACATCAACTAGAGAGAGTTCTTCATGTCAGAGCAGGTATTCCTAAGTGGTTGGTATCTACCGGGCCTGCGTAACACACGTAACACACGGCAGGCAAAGGAATGGGCTTTGTCAGGGTTTACCTTCACATGCTGTGTTCAGCAGAAGAAGCTCAATCAATGAGAAAGGCAGTTAAGGGATTACGCAAAGAAAGGAATTTTTTTAAAAAGGATGCTATAGGGACGACCTAAGGATCAATTTAAGAAGAAAACATTTAAAAATCCATTCTGTCCTAACTCCCTCCTTACAAGACTGAGAGACAACGGTCCAAGGCCATAAAGAATAGCAGCCGTGCCCTGGCCGGATGGCTCAGCTGGCTGAAGGTCATACCGACCAAGGTTGCAGGTTCGATCCCTGGTCGGGGTGTGTAAGAGAGGTGACCAATCAATCTTTCTCTCTCATACTGATGTTTCTCTCACTTTCTCCCTTCCTCTCTCTCTAAAAATCAATAAAAAATATATCCTTGAGTAGGGATTAAAAAAAAAAAGAATAGCAGACATGACAAGAAACTGGAAGTGAAGGGTTGTTTTTGTACAGCATTATAAGTATCAGAGGGTGGGAGGCCATACAATGAATAAGGAGAAATCTGAAAAGCCATTTTTTGAGGTTCACCCTGCACCCCCCTCAGAAATGGGGTACACTTCCTCTTAAGCCCACCCAAGGTGAAGAATATCTACTCTACTTGACGTCTGCAAGGAAACTGGCTCCTTCAATAGCTGTCTGCCTAACAGCAGTCTTGCAGCAGCCACCACTCCCCTTCCTTTTCTTCATTCTTCACTTACCTGCTTCAAATGTTTTTTCAACTCTAATGACTCTGGTTCTGGCAGGACAGGTAGCACTTCTGCATTGGTGGGGGCAATCACCTGCACCAGAAAAAAGATAAAAGGCATGACCCTAGAGCTAAATCCTTAGGAGTTTCTCTCACATAAGGGTAAGCAAAAAGAATAGGAAGTTGTATATACACTATATCATTTGTATGTGAATACATACATTAGATACCAACATACATGAGATATCCATCTGCACATGTGTATGATACACATACACACCTAAATGTTATTGATGACTATCTCTAGGTAATAGGATTATGGTTTTTATTTACTTCTTTAGACTTATTTGTATTTTCTAGTTTTTACAATCAACACATAAGGGCTTCCTACCAACGTTTATATTCACACTACAGAATGTTAATATGCATTTTTGCCAAAACCGGTTTGGCTCAGCGGATAGAGCGTCGGCCTGCGGACTGAAGGGTCCTGGGTTCCATTATGGTCACATGCCTGGGTTGCGGGCTCTATCCCCAATATGCATTTTTAAAAGTCTGTACTGAAAGACAGTTTCTTGATAGAAACTATACCCCCAAGAAAACAATTAGCTGATCCACACCATATGTAATTGTCCAGCCACCACTGATCTGAGATGCGGGGGAACACTTAATTCTGGCAACACTAAATCTTGTAATTCTTGGAGTCCTAAAAAGGGTCTATTAAACCAATAAAATGAAAGCAGGATTTTAAAAAAATTGTTTCAATGAGTCACACAATAGAAATCACCACCAACTCAGGACTTTGCTGGGAGTAATCTCAAAAAAGAGGACACCACCCTATTGTGGAACCTCACCCGACTGCCGTCCAGGTCCACTAGCCATACATCGTCAGGCATTTTGAAGTCCGGTTTGTAGAGGAAGAAGCTGGCAGGGACCCCGATGATGTATGGGGTTGGGGCCAACAGCAGCTGGGAACAGATAAAGAGGATGAGAAAAAAACACCCATTGTGATCACTTATCAAGTCAGGATTTTTCTAGATAAGGAAACAATTCCTATTCCAAAACCCTTGAGGGTAGATGAGTTTCAAGAGTCAGAATTTTTCAGACTTTAGAACTGCACCAGTCCCTATTCTGCATGTTAAGTGATATCTGCACTGGTGCAGTCAGTAGCCTCTAGTTGCTAACATGAACTGTGACAAATAAAAATAAACAGCATAGGTTTTACCACCAGACCAGCGCAAGTCCGGTCAGATTTTGCAGACACATAAGCAGACCAGTACTGATTTACAACCTCTCTGGGCATTGAGCCTTCTCCCCTAGAGCTGGGCAGAGCTGGAACACAGAGGTGACAAAGACAGAAGATGCCTTGAGACGCACCTGCTCTGCCGATCCCATGCAGGTGGGCAGCAGTGGGATGACAGGAAACATATACTCCAGGGGGTAGATCATTGCCACAAATGCCATCACAGACATGGAGAGTGCGTTGTAGTCGCGGGACTGTAGCACCACCTGCCACAAGTCATACGAATCACTCGACAGCGTAAGGTTTATGAGAATACAACTTCCAACACTACAGTTTGTTTCACCCTGCCTATGGCTCCAGGAGCATAGTTTCCACAATTACACTGCTCTGTACCCCACCTTGCACCTCCCAATCCAAGCACTGTAGTTGTCGTCTCTCGAATCACTCCCTATGTTCCTAGTTCTTGTACCCCCAATCCCAGGATCACTCTTTGGAATAGAACTATTGATATTTCCAGAGAATTAGCTCAGTATAGTTAAAGATAATTCAGGTGAGTGGCAAGTCCACTGAATACATCCCACACGATACAGCACCTTAATTCAACCCACATCTACTGAGTACTTACTCAGTAGATACCTGGCATCTTATTACCCCCGGAGAGAAAAAGATGAAAAGGGTATAGTCCCTGTCCTCAAAGAGCTCATGGTTTAGCCTCTGCCATATTTCAAAGGTCTAGAAAGCTGGCCCTCTCACCTTGTGCTCTAACAGGATGCAGGTTAGCACCTGAAGGCAGGCATCCACACCCAGAAGTTCCAAGGGAAGGTGCAGTGGGAAATCCACCAGGGTGAATCGAGAGGGGTCAGGAAGAGCAAAGGTCAGAGCTTGCTGAAGCTCCTGGGGTAGGACCTCAATGTCTACTCGCTTCTGCCCAGAGACGGGCACTGGGGAGCGCAGCAATCGATAGATCCAGGCCTCAATCTCTCGAAGGTCATGCAGAAGGGCACCTGACTTCTCCTCCACCAGCAACGATCCAGTGAAGATGCGCCACATGGTGTCCCTGGGGGCAGAGAGCAGCAAACAGACACATGTGCACCAGGGGCTGATACCCTACTGCAACCCACTGTAACCATAAAGGGGATAATGATGACAACTGGAAAAGCCCACCCTTTGAGCTCAGCTAGGACCACAGGGTAGGGACAAGAGTGAGAGCAAGTATAATCATGCACACATGGTGGGACTCACTGTCCTGCCCACCATGAAACATCAAATTCCTCAGCATTGATCCAAACACAATCATGATAGGAGGTCTAACTCAGCAGCAGTCTTTTGCTTAGTAAGGACTAAGGTCTGATGGACTTCAGGCTTTAGAGAAATTTCCTATGCCCCTCACAGACCAATTATACCTCATCTCGAAAATGCTCCACCTCTCTGAGCACCAGCGGCAAACCATACCTTTGTATGCCTCGGGGGATGCCCAGTTTCTTGCCCAGCAGTCGCTCACTGCAGCAGTCCACCAGACGTTTGAGGGTGTACAGACATTCTCGGAAGGTGGAGAAGAAGGGGTAGTGGCTGATCACACAGAGGGAAGTCAGAGTACTGTTGCGGGACCGGCTTCCCGCCTTGGCCCGGCGTTTTCCGCGAGGAGACTGGTTCACATCGGGGGTGGAGTCGGCACTGGGCGGCTGCAGGGACGAGCCACTCTCCGAACTCTCAGTGCCAACCTCTTCTGAGGCGCTGGTGGGCCGGGGTCCTTCCTTCCCACGGGACCCTGCCCCAGCCTCCCCCTTTTCCTTAGGCATTCGCTTCTGGAAGGAGCGGTAGAAGTTAACACAGATGCCATAACGCGTGACTCCGGTGTCCTTGTCGGTGAGGGTGAAGACAAAAGAGATATCATCCCGCAGGCTCATGCGCCGCTGCCGCACACTCAGACAGCCCTCAGGCTGGCAGAAGAACACGACATCTGGGGGCAGGGGAAACTCGGGGTGATCCTCTAATGGGTATCGCCGAAGCAATTCAGGAGTCTGGGCCACACTGTCACTGCTCGGGTGCCTGAAGAACAGAAAGACCAATTCAGCAGCCTGAGGAGTAGGATGCGCTATCAGAGTTTACAAATAAAGTTCATGACGCTATACTGGATCAAGTAACTAACTGCAAGACCTTGGCTGCATTTAGCCGGTAGGCTAAACGAGGCCGGCACTGTCATGAAGACACCTATCCCGAACTGAGAGAAAAATTTCAACAATTAAATGATCACTCACACCTTTTCAAGGTATAATAGCCAATGACAGAGCATACTAGTATGTTAATACTAGTATAATAGACAGAGCATACTAGTATGTAGGTACTTTCCCTTTTTACGAAACAAGGAAAGTGGGTACACAGAGCAAATTTGCTCAAGAACAGAAAGATGCTAGTTAAGAGGAGTTTTGCTCCAACTCTGTTCCTTCAGGCCTCTACTCTCAATCCACCTGACTGTGTTGTTTTTCCAAAGGCATCAATGCTCCCATCAGAGCAAAACAGTGGGATAAGGATAAGATATGCAAACCAACATGGAAATGGAAAGGGGAAGGAATCTGTGGCTATCCCAGACGACAAGACAAAAATTATTCTCGTTTTGGTTACCTGGCGCCGACAATCACTAGGTAGTCAAGTAACCGAGGACAGAACTTCTTCTTTTGCACCATGGTTCCAGTTCATCAGTTCATCTCGGAGAAACTTCAAGGCACCAAGCAAGGAGTCAGCATTCCCAGGGGGAATTCTGTTATTATCTGAAAATCCAAGGCTAATGGGAAGAAAGTACTGGTAAGATCCATTGCTGTGCCTAAGGAGTTCAGCCCTGCTAGCTTCATCCCTGCCAGAGGCATAGGTGAGGTCTTCCATTCAGCACTAAAGATAAAGGAACCCGACACTTTTCCCAGCCTGGAGTTCAGCCTAGGCTTATGAGCTCATGGAATCAAATGAGAAGGATAAATAATGGCCCATCTCCCCATCCCTACAAACAAGTTCATTCTCAGCCTTGCCCCTGGCTCTCTGTTTTTGAAAAACAGAACCAGTTAGTCTAATCTGGATTCAATCATTACAGTAACAAAAATTAACTCATTTTCAGGACTGCTCCAGGGGGGATCCAGGATCAAACCAGACTCTCTAATCAGCACTCCCCTGTACTCCGAGCTCTAGATCAGTGGTTCTCAACCTTCCTGATGCCTCGACCCTTTAATACAGTTCCTCATGTTGTGGTGGCCCCCAATTTCATTGTTACAAATTGAACATAATTAAAGCATAGTGATTAATCACAAAAACAGTATGTAATTATATATGTGTTTTCCGATGGTCTTAGGCGACCCCTGTGAAAGGGTCGTTCGACCCCCAAAGGGGTCGCGACCCACAGGTTGAGAACCGCTGCTCTAGATGGAAATACATTTATTCTGTTCCAATATTCTGCATTCAGCTTGATATGAAACTAGTATATATAGTGTATAGTTCATTGTTCTCAGACAATAACAAAAGCTGGGTATTCTACCCTGTGCAATTTCAAATGAAGAATATCTATGTTCCAATTCCTTGTCTAGATCAGTTTTCTTCCCTCTTCAAGCAAAAAAGGGACCCAGTGGCTATTGCTACTGGCTCTGCCCTTGGTGCTGAATCATAGTCTTTCTACTCTATTTTGGTCCAAGGACTGGAATCAGTAATACAATACACACAGATGGGGCCTTGTCCTATATCTTACAGAGACTAGGAGTTAGATGCAGAAATAACAGGATTTCTGCAAGGACAGGGAGAGGTGCTCAGAGGAATTTCTAAACCATGGTCCAAAAGTCAGGAAAAGCTTACAGGGTCTTAATTATAATTCATTTCCATACACTTCTGTAATAAAATGTTTAACTCTACCTCAAGATTATTTCTAGTGCTTCCAGAAGTCCACCTCTGTGCTCTGTACATAGCCACACTAGGACCGTGTTCACTACACACACAGAGAGAATCTCATTACACTACACACACTCAACACTAGTCCCTGTTTTGCGGCTGCATGCACTACTATACACACAGACATCCACACTTCCTGTATGCTTAAGGTACTCTTGATACAGATAATGAGAAGTTCTACTTCCCCTCCTTACTTAATAATAAAAGAGACCACCCTGGCTGTTTTGGTTCAGTGGATAGAGCGTTGGCCTGTGGACTGAAGGGTCCTGGGCTTGATTCTGGTCAAGGGCACATGCTCTGTTGTGGGCTTGATCCCCAGTAGGGGGCGTGCAGGAGGCAATGGTTCAATGATTCTCACTCATCATTGATGTTTCTCCCTCTCACTCCCTCTCCCCTCCTCTCTGAAATCAATAAAAATATATTTTTAAAATAAATAAAAGTTTATTTTAAAAAGTAATATTTTTTTTAAAAAGAGACCTATTTGCAACATCTCTCAAATCCTCAAAATATTGCTCCCTCCTTTCCCTTGCTCCCAATAGAGGACCAGCAGGTAATAGGATTCAGTTTTATCTCCATAGTGACTGACTCCCAGTACTATTTATAGCAGAGCCACAGCCCCTCCCCTGCCTGGTGACCTCACAGTGCTAGCAGCTGCTACTCCAGCATCGGCCAGGGCCCATACAATTCACTCTCCTTGAATTTGGAGACACCTCTTCCTCTGACAGCACCTGCTAATTATTATGTTATCTTCTTTGGTTTGCACTTTGTCCTAATTCTGGAGTTTGACAGAGCTATCTCCTTTCCACACAACCATAACCAAGTTTCCAAGCACCCATACACTCATTTCTAGGCATCACTACCACCCAGAAGGTCCTCTGGTTCTCTCCTCTGCTATGGAGCCATGAGCATACTGCAGAAGGCGGGGCGCTGTTACACAGCTTAACTGAGCTCCTCCCAACCAGAATGAGAAGGGGAGAGGAACAGAAATGAAATGGGAGGTGTGTAAAAGCATAATTCATTCTAGAAGAATTATGTGGATAATGCCTAGGGTGAGAGCCAAAGTATAGTAAGTCTTCACTTAATGCCATCAGGTTCTGCAACTTTAAGTGAAACAGTATATAACGAAACCAATTTTGCCATAGGCTAATTGACATAAACAAGAGTTAAGTTCCTATGGCACCTCATCAACGTTATAACTAAACAATATTGAGCAAAATGACATTATTTGAGGACCTGCTGTGTCTTAAAATATATAGGATTTATAGGACCAGATCTCAAGGCTAGGCCTTGAAATCTATATTTACATTAAAAGCTAGGAACCCTTTCCTGCCCAAATCTCAAAGATCACACCTGAAGCTTCTTCTACTAAAATACTAGGCATCTAGCCTTAGTGGGATCCCAGCCCCTCGCCAATGAGAAGCATTTGCTTAAAAGCAAATGATCACACTCTACAGTGCTCATCTCCCTCCCACAAGGACTCCTGTGACTATTCCAGTTACTAGCAATAGGATAGATTCCTGTCTCATCAACAGCCACTGCTCTTGGTTATTCAGACTGCAGAGATAACAAAGGCTTTTCTTCCCATTCTCACCCCTCCTCACAAATCCTCTACCACCACCTGTAACTCACTGTCTTCAAGTCCACCCAAGCTCAGACTCTGCCTCCTGCCTCAACCACATTTACTCACAGGGAGCCCTTGGTTCCTAGGTCCTATATTCCAAAGGCATCAAGCTCAAAATGCATACCTATCTGCTGAAGGCCTACATCACCTTCCACTCCATCCAGATGCAGATTTGGAACCCACAGACGTTTCTTTAGGTTACTGGGGTCTTTTCCGCAAATGGCCTCGTTAACCAACCCTTTGGATTCGTCCCTCTTCGGGGGTAAAATGTCATAGTAAAACCACAGGAACCGGAGAGCGATATGACATCTTTGCTGACGTGAGCACAAGAGGCTCTCTCACCTCCTCCTCCTCCTCCCCAGGAAGTGACCTTGCAAGCACATCAACACAGACTGGTCCAGCATGGGGGAGCACAGAGCAATGAGGCAGGCAATAGGCGGGTTGGGGGGAGGAGAGCAGAGAAAGGAGGAAGAATTTAGGATGCACGAAGCTGGGGAGGGAAGCCGCTGCATGAACGATCACACGGTGTCTCCACTCTCTAATAAGCCAATTTTGAAAACGTCAAATTTAAAAAATACGGTAAAGAACCGAATGTGGTTCTTCAAACCCTAACAAAAAATAAGGCGCACAGCACACGCGCGCACGCACGCGCGCACACACACATACATACACACACACACACACGCACACGCACACGCACACGCACACACGCGCGCGCCAGGTGCCAATCCCGGGCCCGACTGGGGCTGGACAGCTCTGTCTACCCCCTCACCTGCTGGACATCTCCCCGCC